CATAACAACTGAGTTAGAATTTTTGAATCACTCATGTGTGGATTAATATATTTTATTTTCTTCTTTTTCTTCTTATTCTCTTTCTCTATGTGGATTACATAATCTATGTGCTTGCCTATGTTTATTTTTCATTTTTTTAATGTCAAAGGAGGAAGTATACTCTCAAAAGGAATAGGGTATACTTTATATATGTATCATGGGGAGTTTGACCACTTCAATCTATCACCTTATTTTTCATGTTTTGTCCACCTCCAAGTGAGATGTGTTAGCATCATCAAAAAGGGGGGAAATGTGGATCCAGGTGCTTGCAAGTACTGCAGCTCATGATTTGATCATGTATTGATCATAGTAGTTTTGATGATGACTCTGATGTATGGTGGAATCATGTTGTTTGATCCTCTGCTTAATCATGGTAATTGTAGATGTTATCTTTCTAGTTATCTCTGATGATGTTGCTCATACTTAAGTTATTTCAAGCCTTATCAGGGAGAAGATTCAAAGTTTGAGTGAAGTGATAACGTAAAAGATAATATTACAAAGAACTTGATGCTTCAAATATGAGAAAGAGAGCATGGGTGAAAATTCGTCTAATTGGTCATGCACTTAGTGCAATATCTGAGTGAACAAAGTATTGTTAAAATGTAGAGTAACTCATAAGTTACTAAGTAAACTCTCACACACTCACCAAATGGTTTTGAGGACCCTTCCATTTTGATAAAATCACCCAAAAACATTGAATATAGATAGTTGGTTACAAGCTCAAGTAATCCTTTGTGAATAAAAATTACACTAGATTGTTGATTATCTCTTTTGTAATGTCTCATAATCAATTATTAAGATTTATAGTCGATTAGTAACTGTGCAATTTGAAAGCTTCCTATATTTACAATACATAATTGATTATCACAATGGCTAATTGATTATGGTCATAAAAAGTCCATGGATCATTTTCCCTTTTGAGCTACATTTTCGCCTACATAAGGAAGGCACCCCTTCACTATATCACACACCAGAATTCGATTTTAAACCACTCTTCCATCTCTTTCTCTCTCTCATTCTATCTTTCATTGAAAGTTTCCTTAGAGCCTCTTTGAGTGAAATACATTTGTGAGGTTTTAGTTGTACTAATGTTCAACTATTTTATCAAGCGACCAATACTCTTAAGTTTCTCTTGGTTGGTTCTAGATGTTGTCTTGGTAAAAAAATTGTTTGGTTTTTGAGATCAGCTAGTCAAAATCTCATTCTTGTTTTGTGAGTTTAGCCTGTGAAAATATCTACTTTGTTTGAAGAATCACCTTGTTAAAATCTCTTAGTCAGTTGTAATAAGGTTGTTTGACATAGCCTAGCAAAAGTTTAAAAGATATCTTTAGTGGAAATCTCATATTTTTATATTTCCATTTATATTTAAATTAATACAATACCACAATTCACCATCACTTCACTTCTGTTTGGAGCAATTGTTAAACACTCATATTTAGTAGTCAAAATATCCCTTCAAAGACCGATGGACTCAAAAATCAACAATCAATGGCCACCTCCATTTTCCTAGAAAAGCAATATTAACTAAGCAAAGGTCATGGACTCCGAGTCCTTTGTTCTTCTTAGGTTTTCACACATATGTCCAACTAACCCAAGGAATCGTATTGTTACCATTAACCTCTCACCATAACAACCTCCCATGAAACTTAACAATACTCTACCAAACCTTAGCTGGCATCTAGAGGAAAGACATAAAGAAAATAGGGATATCATTCCGAACATGAATGGACACTTAAGCAAAACTAAGTAGTAATAGAGTGAATGTTATATATTCTTAAACAAACATAGCATATATAATACAACATTTTTTCTGAAGCATACATGATTATCTTATAAAAGTACTTAAGAGTAAAGAAGTAAAATGATATACGTAATTTATAACAAACACCAAACACTATTATTTGTCCTCAATTTATTCACTCCCAAACAGCATAGTCTTTACCAGAAGCAACAACATGAAAATTTGATGGAACAAGATTTCCAAGATCCATCTTTGGTCCTATCTTCACAATAACCTTGTTGTCTATCTTTGCTACATAAAGGTCACCATCAGCTGCTAGAATGTTCACACTGCTTTTCATGTTTATCCCATTCTTCTGTCTTATTGCAGCCAATTTTGTTATCTCATCCTTCAAACCCCAATCAATGAAGTGATCATAGAATATTGATGGTGTTCCGGGATGTGTTAGAATATATGCATAACCCTGCATTACTTTATCAGATGGAAATGGCCAAAGTCTCTGAGTTGAACCTGTATCATGGTTATCGATGAATGTTACACCATTTTCGGGTTTTATACCGATCAGTCCAGGTGGTTTTCCGTTTGAGTCTTTCAACCTCCATAGTTCACCTTGTACCGCAGCTTGAAGAATCCCTTTGGTAGTAAAATCAAATGCATTAACAACACTGCCTCCAGCACGTTCAACCCAGTTAGCAAGTTCACCTCTAGCAGCATCTTGATTATAGTTAATCTTCCCATCATTACCGTTAGCAAGTGAGTTCCAATACTCTCCTACTGCAAAATCTGGTTTAGTTTGTTCCACGTAAATTTTCGTTATACTAGGCGCATAGCCTTTGACGAAATCGAATCTCCAACCGGAAAATCCGATTTCTGTTTTGAGCCAGTTCATCCATTCGGATAACTCTCTTTGTACTTGTGGATTGAGATGATCAATGTCAGGTGCAGCTTGATAGTCCTCGCCGGTATCATCATTTCCTTTGCCATCAGAATAAGTGGTGTCACCTTTGCAAATGAAAGATGGACCCCAATCAAGCTTTGAATCTGGAGTCCCGCCTTCGAAGATGCAATAGATTCCTCTATCATCTTTTCTCTCTGCAGTTCTATGGTTGATGACTATGTCAGCTACAGACTTGATTCCTTTATCGTTGAGAGCGGCAATCAGTGACTTCAGTTCGTCTTTTGTTCCATATTTTGATGCATCAAGATCATATAGCCTTCCAGGAAGATACCCTAGATTCAAACAATTAATAACGATCACTATATCTATAATATGCATTAATATTTGATTATGTTAATGATGGAGGTAGAAAGAAACCTTGAGGTCCAACACTTTGAGAAGGAGGAGGGAGCCAAACATGTGTAATTCCGGCATTTGCTAAGTCGGGAATAGTGTTCTTCAAAGAGTTGTACCATCCTCCTTTGTTACTTGATTCCCAGTTGAATCCCTGTCAAAAAAAAACATTCATTATATACATACATGCAATGAGATTGTTTATGAAATGTATATATTTGTGTTGGAAAAATACCTGAAAGAGCAAGGTAGAAGAAACTAAGAAAGGAAGTGGTGAAAGGAAGAAGCAGAAAAGAGTGATGAAAGGAAGAGAATCCATTGCTTCAAATGTGTTGTGTTTGATCTAAGTGTGTGTGGTTATGTAACTTATATAGAGAATCCATTGGTCCAAATGTGTTTGATCTATGTGTGAATGCGGTTTTGTAACTCATATAGAGAATCTGGTTATTGCGTGAAGTAAATAAATATCATAATAATAATTTGTAGTATTCTAAGAAAATCAAGAAACGGATAGGAGTTATTTCATCCGGCCAAATCATTATATAATTCAATTCAATTCTATTTAATACTCTCATTTCAAAAATATCCTTTGAGCCAAATTCGATTAATACTCTCATTTGTCATTTCACAATTGGTGGAATATTCATGAGAACACATAAACCCGTCCATAAGGCTTTTTTATGTATAATTGAAGTGTCAATAGTTGCCCGGATAAGACATTGGAAAATTGGAAATATTCATGGATATCCTAAGGATAGTTTAAGGTATGGGAGTAGTGGGAAACAAAAATAAAAGAGTCAAATGTTTCACATTGTAGAGAGCTAAAAGTTTGTTAGATATTCAAGAACTCTTTTTCACTGCAAATGTATCCAAAACTAAAAAAGGTATAGTATCAAATAAAACATGGATGTTGTTTTTTTTAATGATATGGTACTTTTCGACGTGCTCCATAAGTTGCTTTGATTAGCGAGGAATTGGAGTAAACTACTCGGTTTCATTCTTAAAACAGTAATGTTGCATCAAACTATTCATTAATTTATCAATATTTTAAGAGTAAAATTTGATTTCTATAAGGGAAGGACCTAAATGGGAATAGGTTTAATGTTTCTTAGTTGGACAATTACAACTATGTCAAGGGAAGACATGACAAACTTTTTCAAATAAGTCATTTTTGACAGAAGAGTAATTAGAACCTATGGTGACACTGCACGACACTTTCCAGTATCAAATAACCAAAATAACGGTTTACTCATATTTTAATATTTCAAAGTGATCTTTAATGTTATTATTATACAATGTGAATTAAATTGGTCTTTGTATTAGTATCCGCAATGCGATCATAATGCTAAGTTGGTTATATCTAATATGTATTTGATACTAAAGTAAATAATGTTGAGATGCATTTGATAACATATCCAGACACAAGATTAACATGATTAACAGTTTACAGTTCTAGACATTGCTTATGTTAAACGAGAACAGAGGGTAATTTCAATTATCAGATTTTCTTAACCAAATTGCTAAGTTAGATTACCATGACAGATAGGTTTAGTTTTTATAATCCCTAACAATATGTTTTAGCTTTGAAACTGCATTATAGTTTGAAAAATGATCATTCACATGCATTCAAAGAACTACCAGTATAAACTTTAATAATAGGCTCCATTTAATGGCAAAAAAGACAATGGAAAAGATAGGTCAACATAATGCATGGTGAACTATTTTGAAACTTGAAACATCAGATTACAGTATTATAAAAGTCATTTGGAAGATTTCCATAACACTATCTATATCCTTCATTATCCATAACTATTTTCTCTTGAACACCTTTAGGAATGATGATTGATGTATTAAACTATAGATATACTCCTCAGATTGAGGTTAAATACTTTATTGATTGCTTTATTAGGCTACATATCTGCTCAGTGCTCACAGCTTGGAAGGCTTTGGGAAGATATCAGGAGTAAATTTCTGAGCGGCACTCAAACTTCCCTTAATCTTCATTGCACCTCTGTAAACATACACCAGCACAACAGATACAAGCAAGTGAATCTATAAACAAAGAAAAAGGAATGCCAATAAAAAAGGGAAACAAGATCTAGTTAAAATGTTGAACCTCATGAAAGCAATCTGCGGATTCAGCTTTCCTAATGCAAGCTTAACAAAGTCTTCATCTTTAAAGGAAAAAGTTGCATCCGGCTTTCCACCTTCATATGGCCCTATATACAGACACAGACCCAAATAATCATACTTGATGGCATTGTAGGAGAAATCAATAATTAAAATCAGCCAACTTAACTATAATTTTTAAAATCAATAATTCAAAGCAAAATTGTAACAGTTTCTGATTAGTCTCTAGCTACCTAGACAATAAGCTACAATCTAAAAACAGATTGGAAGTATTTAATCATAAAAGATATAGCAGTGACCAGACAACAGAAATTGAGATAATATAGGAGAAAACTTCAAATGACTGGTATATCTTTCGGATCTGTGTTGAGTGCATTCAAAACCCAGTGATTACACACAGTTGACCACTGCACGACGGTATGATCAAGATCGGAGGAGTCAACCGTGCTGATTGTCTGCAGGCTCAAATATCTATCTATAACAACCTAATCAAACCCGTCCATTCTATCTTTCTAAATTGCAGTTGAGATTGCGAATGTGGTTACGTCATATCCTTCATGTCATGAGCAACCAACGTTGCTGTAAATATAAACGGTTTTAAATTGCGGTCAGCAACCGCAATTACAGCCGCAATATTGCAGATTACGGTCAGCATCTGCATTGGACTGTAATTGGATTGTGATCACAAAACCACCCATCCGGGCGCGTTATGAACTCACCGAGACAATTCCAAAACTTATAAATTTTCTTCAAGTATTTTCATCAAAACTTATAAATTTAGAATCCCAGAACTCAAATTACTTCATATGTAATTAAAAAAACATAACATTAAGTGTTTTTCAACTTTGTATGTAGAACTCCTCTCAATCAAAATTCATGCCGCAATGGCTGCAATACGCATCAACCACAATGACCGCAACCGCCTCAACCGCATCCACTACCGCAATTTAAAACCATGATATAATGACAACACAGTTGCGGATGCCCTAAAATCTTGACATTATGGTTGCAATTATCCACAATTGCAATTGCATATACTCTAAAACCTTGACATTATGGTTGCAATTATCAATAATTTAAATCAAAATTGCAATTGCAGAAATCCTAAAATCTTGACATTATATTCAAATTACAATTGCAGATACCCAAAACCTTGACATTATGGCCGCAATTATAATAATTGTAATTGCAGCTGGTGTGGCTGCAATTGCAATGACAATGTTCACATATACCCAGAACCCATCAATTTTCTATTGTAATTACAGTTTAAAACCAAGTTTATCTTATATTTGATTGTGAATACATAAGAAGTCCACTTCAGATAATTTATCATAAAACTGGATTGAATGAGTAAAATTGAAAGCAAATATAAACATCAAAATCCACAATTTCAAACAAATGAATTGAAAATGAAAAATGAAACTAACCTTTGGTAACCTCTCCTTTCTTGAGATCAACAGTATACACAACTTCATCGATTCCAATTTTCTACAAATTCAAAATAACAATAATAATAACAATAATAATAATAATAATAATAATAATAATAATAATAATAATAATAATTTAGGAATTAGGTTAAAACGAAAAGAAAATTAGAATTTCGAAAAAAAACTACCTTAGGAGCAATTTGAAACTGATAAACAAGTCCAATTTTCTTGACGAGTTCTTTGCCAGCATCGGTGGTGAAATGTTGCTTCATCAAGTCGATAATGGCTTCAGATTTGAGGCTCGAGGATTCAGCCATGGCTTCCAAATAAATGAGATGATAACTATGGCTTCTTTTTTCAGTAACTTGTGGTTTTATAATCCTTTCTGATTTTTCTGTTACGCTATGTGTTATGGAAATGGAAATAATAAATTGGAAATGATTAATGGTTAAATATATTTAGAAAAAGTTTAAATGAGATTAGGATGATTTTAAAGTAATTAATATTATTTGGAAAATTTAATGACATTACTTTCACGATACGGATATGAATGTTGAGCGTTGAGCGATAACAATAATAATGAATTCAACAACCATCTCTCACACGCATTTATATCTCCGTATCATATAATTAGGAGGGTAATGCTAACTCGGAGACACAAGTTAAAAAAAGCCACAAATAAAAAATATGTATAAATAAAATAATAAAATTATTAATTATAATATAAAAAATTTAAAATTTAAAAATAGTGCATTGTCATTATAAGACAGTTTTACATATATATAATTAATTAAAATGTTTATAATACAGTTTTACACGTATGATTAATTAGAATGTTTATAACTGTTATGTAATATTAGTATTTTAAAATAAAAATGTGATTGGTTGATCGTATAAAATATTTTACAATGTCATCATTTTTTTCTCAAAAATTTAATTATAAAATTTATTAAATAATTTTACTAATAATTTAATTTATAATTAAATATATTAGTTATTGTTTTGGACTGACCCAATCTCCGAAAATTTTACCCCATATCCCATCATTTATTCTTCTACCCTTATCTTATTTTATTTTTTTACCAAAATATTCTCATATAAAAAAATGTAAAATTTTTCTCATTTAAATATTTGATATGAAATTTAATAAATGAATCTAATTTTAAACACTACTTAATTAATATTCTCAATAAATATAGCAAGTATTATATATTTTTCGTAAAAAGATGTTAAAGATACTAATTTATATTTGCATGTGATTTGAATGACAATAACTATATACAACACATTTTTGAGCTAGTAGTTTTTTTTCTTCTTCTTATTTTCTAAGTTTTCTTCTTCTTCTTATTTTCTAAATACTTCAAGTATGAGCCAACCTGTTTGAAGAAGATGATGGAAATAGCCAATATCTCGAACCATAATTATAAGTTACTTCATAGTTTGACTAATTATTAAAAAATTATAAATGATGGGGGTATGAGGTAATTTTAAGATAATAGTTGAAAGACATTACGGTTCAAAGAAACTGATATAAAAAACATAGAATAATTTTTGACGAACAGTTTCTCATGATATGAGCTATGAGGTAATTTGAAATTGGAAGACATTGAAAAAAACTAAAAACATAAAATATGAATTAAAAAAGAAAAAATATATATTTTTGATAGTAAATTGAAATTAATAAAAAATATTCGTTTTTAAAAATATGGATAATTTGTTTTTCATTTTTTATAATATTAAAATTTTAAAAAAATTAAAGTTTAAAAATTGTATAAACAAAATTATATAATACTTTTACGGAAAGTATATAATACTTGTCATGTTTGTTAAATTTCAGATTAAATAATTAAATTAGAAAAATTTTATACTTATTTATATAAGGATATTTTGGTCAAAAAATATAGAAGGTAGGGGTAGAGAAATAAATGATAGGGTACGGGGTAAAGTTTTCCCAATCCCCTTATAATTTCAAAACGGTCCAATTGCTTAAGTTCGCCTAATTTGGGGGAAACATTTATCTTTCTGCCCCTCCAACAGGAAAGACTGACCAATTTACCCTTGATTATAGCGCTTCTCCTCGGCAGTCCTTACCCATCACACACAGTTCCACCATCTAGGTCCGACGAGCCCTCGACATTCCGTCGGGGAGATAGAAGACGAGAAGAACGTCCCCGAGAGCCCCGGGACAACAAAGGGTCTTCCGGCCGGTTCCACGAGTACACTCCCCTGACATTTTCGAGGGAAAATATCCTTTCTGAATGTGCAAACTTAGAATTCCGGCAGGCGGGGGTCTGATTTCCGAAGCAGATACCATCCAAACCAAACACGAACAAGTCGAAATATTGTCGGTTCCACAAGAGCCACGACCATATGACCGACGACTACATCCACTTGAAGGATACCATAGAAATACTCATCAGGGATGGACATTTGAAGCAGTTCTCCAAACGAAAGATGCTCATCGGCAAGACGTCCAGGAATTCAAGAAGGTTGAGGAAGAGGTGCCTTCCTCTTAGGAAGTCAGCCTTCAGGTCGCTATGAGCATCTCGCGGCCTGAAGATTTCTACATCCCCGAGGGGCTTAGCGCCCCTCCATATTTCGTCGCGCACAACCCGTGGGAGACTTTTCCCTTCGCCATGGTCATCTCTGGAGGGGGCTTCAACAAAGTCACGGTAGGCTCCGTCAAAATAAAATTCGAGCACCTTATCAACAACAGCTCGAACCGGAACTCCACCCTCGATAGGGTCCGACGAGAGTCTGTTCCCATCTACTTCTACCACGAGGAGCTCCTTGGTGGAGCCCCCAACACCAGCATCCCTTTGCTCCTAAGAGCCCAGATGGCAAATTTTGACATTTGACGAATCCTCGTCGACCAAGGCAGCTCAGTTGATATTATGTATTCCCAGTTGTTTTCCACCCTCCAGTTGGACGAATCACATTTGACACCCTACGTGGGCTCCGATCTACAGGGTTTAAATGGGTCGGTGACAAAGCCTTGAGGTTACATAGAATTGATCGTAACTTTCGGGTCTGCTGAGACGGCCAGGTCAATAAAGGTCAAATTCTTGGTCATCGATTGCCCGTCACTATACCAGTGCTTCTTCGTGCGGCAAACTCTGGCTGAATTGGTGGTCGTGCCTTCAATAGTGCACTTGAAGATGAAATATTATACTTCTAAGGGTCTTGTGGCGACTCTACACGGAGACATTAAAGTCGCGAGGAGATGTTTTGAAGCAGCCTCCAAGGGGCTGAATACCATCGCCGCCAGGCCGAAGACTCCCAGCCAGACTCCTCGGCCCTGCAACACCGAAGAGACGAAGTCGCTGTCCCGCGTTGACTCCATCGACCTTGACAGTCGTTTCTCCGAAGACGGCCATAAGATTCAGAAGGTAAAGGGGAAAGAGATCTAGCCATCTTCGAGCAACCCCTCCAATAGCGGGGAAATTGCCCATCTGATGCGCCCAATTCCGGATGGAAAGTTTGAACTTGTCTTACTCGGCGACGACCCCCAGCAGAGTGTAAAGATTGAGACCGATCTCCCCGAGCTTGCGAGGAAACAACTAAGAGCCCTCCTCCAGGAGGATGCATATCTATTAGCGTGAAACGCCGCGGAGATGCTCGGGCTAGACCCTGATGTGGCCTGTCACCACCTCACGATTGATCCCGCCATTAAGGTCGTAGCTCAGCATAGGCGATGACAGTCTCCGGAGAAAATGGAGGATGCCGAGCAGGCTGTAAAAGACCTATTATAGGAAAACTTTATATCGGAAGTCAAGTACACCACTTGGTTGTCCAACGTTGTACTCGTGAAAAATAATAATGGAAAATGGCGAATGTGCATTGATTATACCGATCTTAATTGGGCCTGTCCTAAAGACGCATATCCCCTCCCCAACATAGATAAAATAGTTGATAATTTTTCCAATTTGAAATTGTTATCTTTCATGGACGCTTATTCGGGCTATAACCAAATACCCATGGCAAAAAGCGATAAAAGGCACATGACCTTCATGACCGAATCGGGCAACTATTACTACAACGTAATGCCCTTCGGCTTGAAAAACACCGGCGCTACATACCAAAGGATGATGAACAAAGTCTTCCAAGGAGAAATCAGGGACATGCTTGAAGTCTATATGGACGACATGATCGTGAAGTCTCATGAGTAGACCGGTCACACGACCCACTTAAAAAAGGTCTTCGAGTAGGCCAGGAAGTACAGGATGCGTTTTAATCTAGAGAAGTGCACGTTCGGGGTACAAGCGTGCAAGTTCCTCAGTTTCTATCTAACCGAACAGGGAATTGAAGCTAACCCCGACAAGTGTAGAGCTTTCTCCGAGTTTCCCACGCCGAACTCAAAAAAGTCCATCCAATCCTTAAACAGGATGCTCGCATCGCTATCCCGTTTTGTGGCCAAGTCTGCCCAACACACCCTCCCTTTTTTCAAACTCCTCCGCAAGGAGGCCGTGTTCGAATGGACGGAGGAATGTGACAACGCCCTCCTCCACCTGAAACAAGCTCTATCGGAGCCACCAGTTCTGTCCTGTCCAGTTAACGGGGAAACCCTTTATCTCTACCTCGCTGTTGCGAACGAGGCTGTTAGCGTCACCTTCATTTGCGAAACGTCAGATGGGCAGAAGCTCATCTACTTCACGAGCAATTCACTTCAAGGGTCAGAGCTGAGATACCAACAGATATAGAAGGTGGCCCTAGCCCTTATCAATGTTGCGAGAAGGCTAAGACACTACTTTCTGGCTCACACAATTGTGGTACGCACGGACCAGTCCGTAAAGTAGTTGTTAGGTCGTCCATATATGATCGACATAATGATCAAATGGTCTCTAGAGCTATCCGAATTCGACATCTAGTACAAGATCAGAAAGGCCCTCAAGACGCAAGCACTGGCTGATTTCGTTGCAGAAATGACCTTGCCTGACTACCCTAACGGGGGTGCCCGCAGGTGGATCATCTTTGTCGACGGAGCATCTAGCTCAGCAGGGAGCATGGCAGGTGTCATCCTAGAAAACAAGGAGGGAATCCTCATTGAAGTTTCACTTATATTTTCCTTCCTTACCTCTAACAACCAGGCCAAATACGAAGCTATCCTCGCAGGTCTGCGCATCGCCGAAGACCTGGGAGCGGAAGAAGTCATCATCTGCACTGATTCTCAGCTAGTGGCCTTCCAAGTCCGAGGAGAATACCAGGTTTAAACGACAACCTGTCTAAATACTTGGCCCTGGTTAAGGAGGAGATGGTAAAGTTCACCTTCGTAGAAGTAAAACACACTCCCCGCGAACACAACGTTCGGGCAGACGTC